ACAATGAATAATCTCTCTTTTCAGACTTGGAAACAACTGTTTAGCAACTATCTACTCCTTTCATAATATATGCAAGATTTTTCAAGATTATGGATTTGAAAATAGTTAATCTCCACTATGATATATCCCACCCCCACCCCCAAATTTATTTATTTATTTATTTACTTTATTTATATACCGCTTTTCTCAGCTCTCAGCCGACTCAAAGCGGTGATTTGTCTTTACTTTTGAGAGAAGCCTGGCACAATACAAGATTAATTCTTTCAATTCCTAGCATCTTCTCAAAACTGCCTTCCTGAATTATTATTATTATTATTATTATTATTATTATTATTACTATTATTATTATTATTATTATTATTATTATTATTTCTAGACTGCTCTCTCTCCACAAAGGGACAGTTTACACATACAAAAAGACAAGTATTCAATGCCTCAGGTGAGTTCAAACATATCAAAATAATACACAATAAAGCAACACTAATAACAGTGAACTTACGACAAAGAATTGAGCATTGTGATAAAAAATAAAACAACCCAATAAGACATAATTAACTAAAACATAGCTAAACATTACAACAAATACCCTAAAAGCAATTTAAAATACAGCTACATTAAAAATGGCTGGCAACAGTGTTCATTTGAAATGTAAGTGGCACCCTATCACTTGAAGATGGCCTCAGTTTGTGTCTGTGTTTTTTCCCTGGAAATAATCTGATAATTTTCTAAATTGTGACTGATTTCAGAAGCACCAGAAGTGCTTAAAAGTGATATAAATTGACCCAATCAGTGATGGTTTTTGTTTGATTTTTTTACATTTCTAAGTTGTAGATATTTGAATCCATAGATACAAAATATGTGAATGTGGGTGGCCAACCAAAGTGCTAACCATTTAGAGACTGTTCATTTTGGGGATGGGAAGCGGGGTGGGCAGAATCATACACATCAACTGTCTCAGTTTGTCTGGGATGGTCCCAAATCAGCCTCTGTTATCATACTTATTTTAGCTGCTCTTAAAATGGCCTAATTTCTCTTTCCTAATCTCACTTCCTCAGCCACCCTACTTCAGTGGCTGCAAATAGAGCTCAAAGTAACTCAACTTCAGTGAGCAACTAGGAAAGGGGGCCCAAGAGGCTCAAGCAAATACAAAACCCTGCTGCCTTTTCTCCCTTCTGTCTTTCGTTTTACCTTCTTAGCTGCAGTCATATGTTGCGTGGCCACCAAGGTCCCAGTTTGCAGCTGTGACATTTTGCAGGGATTTCAATATGCTTTTGAATTTAAAGTGGAACTAGAAGGACTCTGTCAACCCCTTGGAATATTTATCCAATACAGTTAATTGTGTTCTCCTTTTTCTCGATTCCCTCTTTCCTCAATCATTGCCATAGGCTGTCACCCTTGGTTGAGTATGATTCTCTCTTAAAGGCAAGTCCTGTCTATATCCTCCGCCATGAGCTGCTTCACAGATTGGGGCTCCCAGAGCTCCCAGTCCCTGTTGCCACTCACTGGTCAACATGGGTTTCTGTTGATTTTGGATCGCTTGGAAGATGCCTTTGTGAGAGTTTGTTTTATATGCGTCGGTATGGGTGCACAGAGACCAACACACAATCTTTGCAGAAAGAAGTTCCAATCCAAAAACATGGATATGGTGACAGTTGGTGGCCTCTCAGTCTGTCTTTCGTCCACCTTCCTAGCCGTTCACTCCATGTCCACCAGTTTGGCAGTTGGGGATGGAAGGCTTGTGATGTTCTGTTTTCACTGCCGTTCTAACTGCCATGGCAACATCCAGTCGCATTCTGAAATTTCTCATTTGCCCAGAGGGACTCAAGCTCTTGGCCTGAGAGTTTCCCTACATGCAGGACTCTTTGGCACGGCGCATATATTTTATATATATATATATATATATATATATATATAGTATTACAATCATAAAATAGGTTGTTTGAATGAGACCATTGCTGTGCATTCAGTATGAGGTGGTGCCTTTCTGTTTCGTGCCATCCGAATGGATTGGAACAAAACATAACAGAAATCAAAAGAATGGGACAAATTTTAGGCCCATGACTATTGTCTAGTGAATGATCCATCAGGTGGGCCTGGCGCCCATGGTGCTTGTGTCTATTGTTGACCTTACAAACATGCTGTCCAGAGTTGTGGGATTAAGAAATCTGTTCCTGGGAAAAAGGAAATGGTAATCAGAAAAGCTGTGGCATGACCTTCCAAACTTCAAGAAGGATGCCAGATAATAATGAGACTTTTATGCCCATCTGGCTGCACAAAAAGAGGTTAGCCGAATTCAGGGTCCAGTCATCCTTTGTGCAATCAGTTCAACATGGAATCAATAGAGATGGATTGATTCTGAAGACGATGGGTGCTTGCGTCCTTTGTTAAGGTGAAGACCAAGAAGACACAAGGGGAATTCCAGGTCTAAGAGTGCCAGAAAATGTCACTAAGGTCGTGGCAGTGGCTTAATGGCTCCAAAGATATTTCATAAGATTATAAATAATAAAATATTAAAACACACAAACATAAGGAATCCCGGCATCGCCTAATTTGCAGATACCAGGGGCATCTGGCTCGGAATGGCAGGGTCTTTAGGGTATGAAAGTTGACCCAGGGTCAGGGCATGCAAAGGAGGCAGTGGGAAGGGGAAGAGAAGGGAAAGAAGCCCTGCTGGGCAGGCTGTGAAAGTAAAAAGGAAAGCAAAGAAGGAGACAATAAAGGCTACAGTGAAGCAAGTGTGAGGGCAAAGGGACAACAGGGTGTCTGTTTATTAAAGGGGTTATTTTGTAATTCATAAAAGGGGGTTGGGGACAATATATCCTCTGGAGCTGGCAGCTGCTACAAATATTCCTCCGGCAAGCCTTCGGGACTCTGGGCTTTGAGTTAGCGAGGTTTGAATCTGCCGCCATGGTCCAAATGATGATTTTGCTGGAAGGGGGGGGGGGGGGTGTTCTTGGCTCAACATCACTTCCTCCGAACAAACACATACTGTTGAATAGGACTGGAACCTCTTCCCTGCCTCTGCCTAAGAAACAATTCCTCAAATTAATCATATTGTTTACATACAACATTATCTTAATGGGAAAGTTTAGACACATCTCCTAACTGGGTTTAGCAGGTGAATCATAACAAAGATTATGAAGATATATAATGTTTATTTAGAACAGGGGTCCTCAAACTTTTCAAACAGAGGGCCAGGTCACAGTCCCTCAAACTGTTGGAGGGCCAGATTATAATTTGAAAAAAACATGAATGAATTCCTATGCACACTGCACATATCTTATTTGTAGTTCAAAAAACACCAAAAAACAATCCAATAATTAAAATGAAGAACAATTTTAATAAATATAAACTTATTAGTATTTCAGTGGGAAGTGTGGCTGATGAGATAGGGTTGTTGTTTTGTGCTTTCAAGTCATTTCAGATGTAGGTTGACCCTGAGCGAGGGCCGGGTAAATGACCTTGGAGGGCCGTATCCAGCCCCTGGGCCTTAGTTTGAGGACCCCTGATTTAGAACATCCTTTTCTCCAAGGGTAGAACATCATGTACAATCATGATCAAGAATAATTAAACAAGTAAAATGAAGGGCAAATATCTCAGTCATCTAATCTTCTAGGAATCAGAACAAATACATTTAAAATATAAAGCATGTTTATAAAGCTGTGGGAGTGAAATAAAATGTACTGTAAGATGTACATCATGATCTGTGCCCCAAATTTCCAAAGGTCTGCATAAGATGATAAAGGTTTTTCAGTCTTTATAATGGCTAATTACTCATGGTTCAGTCACTCATGTGAACAGTTTTGAATTTTGGAGTATTTCAGATTTTCAAATTCCAAAAAAAGGATTCTCAACATGTATATGGCAATGCTGTAAATCACACTTTCCCTACTTAAATGTTCGTGAACCTAGGGAGGAGACAAACCAAAGAATGAAGCTATGTACAGGCAGTCCCCAAGTTATGAACAAGATAAGTTCTGTAGATATGTTCTTAAGTTAAATTTATATATAAGTCAGGAACAGGTACATTTTAAAGTGTAACTTCAGCCTATCTATCTATTTATCTATAAGACTTGGATAGTGTAGGGAAGGGTGGTGTTTGTTTTGGTGTCTGGGCCCCTCTTCAGAAGATTCTCCCTCACTTTCTGTCCCAATGAGAATTGGATTTTGAAAAATTGGGCTTGTTGTGGAAACAAAGCTTGGTGACAACGCTTCAGTAGAGACAACTTTACCCCATGATAACTCTTTCAGGAGTGAATTTCCCTTCCGGGGGGTAGATTTCTCTAATTTCCTATTGTTCCACCCCTATTCTTAATTGTAAGTCATTTTAAAGTCAGATATTTGTTACATGGGAGCTACCTGTATATCCCTCCAATAAGCATATATTATGACATGAATCCACACATGTATGGCAGTGGTTGTGATGGCAGAGAACCTAACAGTAGAGGTAGCTGCTAATTCAATCCCTATTTGCTCTAGCTATCTGTACACCTTTATTTGTTTTATCAAACGGGCAGGTTTGTAATCCTGTAATGTACCAGAGTCTGCTTCGAATGATTTAATAAACTGCCAGCTATAATGTGAGCAAATATTGCTTCTTGATTGGAGGGTGTGTGTTATATTGAACGCAAAGATCTGAAGGGACACCAGTCCAAATATTGGAAACAAATTTAAAGTGTGATATACAGACCTCAAATGCTCTTCTGATATTTAAAACCTCCTGTATTTAAAACCTAACCCACAGTTTTTTGGGATATGCCAGGTACTACTCACCACTGCCTGCAACCCAATGTGTTCAATAGTCTGGCTCTTCTTTTCCTCCCTCTGCAGGGAGGAAGAGATCCTCCCCTGGGTGTAACTGCATGCTGTGAAGAATAGGACTTACAGCTGCCTCCAACAATGGCCAGTGCCTCCATTCTCTAGCTGCCACCCAGTGAATTGGTATAAAAGACTCCACTGAGCAGAGTGCAGAGTAAACTCATCTGGCTCCTGTTGCTGACCTGCCTGCTTTACACGCCCTTTGTGCTCCTTTGAACAGCAGTGCATCCTTTGCAACAAGGCAAAAAATAAACTTCTGTTTATATAGTCATGGGCTCTTTCCACCGAAGCAACCGAGCTGAAAGCCACTTCCAAGCTCAAGAAGAGCATGAACTGGACACTCTGGGGAAGAACGCATGGGACAATCCTGTGTATAATGGTTCACCTTCCTCTTCATTGAAAATCAGAACCATCTACAACCCCAAATCAATCCTAGAAAACCCCTATGAGAATATTGAGAAACTGACTGACTCTCCCGCCTATGAAAAAGAAAGCAAGAAAACTGAGGAAGCAAAGAAGAAGGAGAAGAAGCCCTTCCCTGGAATCTGTTTCTTTATCTTCAAAGGCATCCGAGGTAACTGGGTGGGATGAGGCGAAGCAGAGTTTGGAAATGCAGAAGAAGGCCAGCAGTTTGTGATAGCTTCGTATCCAGACAAGGGGAAGCAAGAAAATAACATTTTTTACAGAAATTAATGTAGAAATAGTGCTTGTTTAGTAAAGTGGTTGTTGTCCAGTACTTGGTTGCCCTGTGTCATCCAGAGGCTGTAAGGCAGGAATGGAGCAGACCCCAAATAATCTACTACACTTTTACATTTGATGAGTCTGAGCTCAAATCCACACCCCTCCAACTATTTGAACAATGCCAATGTAATTTTCCTGAGCTCAAAGAAATGTAATTATATAGATGCTCATTTCAAAGCAAGTCCCACTTATAGGGATCTTATAGTATCTTAGAGACTAACTTAGAGAATGAAGAGTTTTTTGTAGTGCTTAATGCATTTTAGGATTGTTTATGTTTGAATTTGCAATTTGTTTAATTACTTTAATTGCATATTTCTTGTCTTCTTCTGATTTTAGTATTGTTTTTAAGTAGAATTATTTCTAATATTTTGTAAGATGCCTTGAGTCCCATTATTGAGAGAAATGATTATAAATAATAAAAAGAAGAACATAAGCTTTTGTAAACATCCTCAGATGCAAGACATATACTTGGGTTTGTGTCTATCTAGACCTGTATAACTGGGTTTCATTAGTAAGTGCCAGGACTTTATTGGTTTGATTGTCACCGGTAGATAAGCAGGGGAAAAACATCATACATTCTCAGCTAACCTTGGCTGTCTTTATAAACTTGAGATGAAATGCTTTCTGGAAAGTTTTGTGATGATTTCAGAATTAATACCTTGTTACAATGTCATTTGAAATTATAAGGATCAGCTCATAGATTCATCGAATAATAGAGTTGGAAGAGACCACATGGGTCATCTAGACCAACCTCCTATGAGGCAGAAAAAGCACAATCATAGAAGAGGAGAGTGTCACAAAGATTTCAGCAATCATGTGATAGAATATTAGATGGAATGGGGCAGCTTTTTAAATACTAAATGGAAGAAATTTGATACGATACAGGATCTGATGCATTGGAAGATTAGACGTCTGACTAGGTGAACCAGAAACATCCATATCTGCATTTTGTTCTCTTCTTATCAAATATGGCAAGACTCCCTTCCTTGAGCTGTCTAGGATGATGTATTTCGCTGACATTTGTTTAGGGCATAGAAGTAATGGAATCATAGAATTGGGTCACATCCTATACAACCCCCTGCCATGCACCTGCTCTCTATGTGTTACCTTGTGGTGTGTTGCCCTTGTTGCTGAAGTACTGAGCAGGTTCCAATGTTCACCCATCTATGAACCTTCATCACCAAGTGGTTCTGAGGAGAGAGGGCAGCCACTTGGAGTCTCTTTTGTGAGAGAAGAAATGGGATGCTAAAATCAATATTTTAATACTACTACTACTACTACTACTACTAATAATAATAATAATAATAATAACAATAATAATAATAATAATAATAATAATAATAATAATAATTCCAACCATATAAACTACATATATATACTGGAAGGAAAGGTAAGAAATATATGTAAATACATAGTGAAAATGTATGAGCTTTAACACTCTGCTGGTTCCTATCACATCTCTTTTTTTCTTCCAGGCTGTTTTGCCACATAAAGTGGCATATAATGGGGACAAGGAAACAGAGTGTTTTGCAGTTGCTGGGTAATTATAAGGCATATTCCCAGGCTATGTACTTTTCACATTTGCTGAACCCGGCAAAACTAGGTGTCGCATGAACCTAAGTAGGTTGGGATTATCCCAAGAAGATATGGAAAGTGGAGCTATCAGAAGTGTTGGCAAATTCCCAAATATCCTGGGGATGAGTTGGGGAAAGGGAGCTGAAAACCAAGAAGGAATGGGGAAGAGAGAGGAGCCAGTTCTTGTTGATTAGACAGTTGCTTCTTAAACTATAGGTCTCAACCCCAAATGCTCAGTGTTGAGGTCATGAAAGATTTGGCAACATTAAAAGGTTTCCCAACTCAACACATTTACATGAATCTGTTAGCAACCACGTGCAGTGTTTACGGTGGACTCTGCAGAAAATGCTTTAGTTGTACTTCACAAGTACAAGCTTTGCAAATGCTGATCTAATATTGCTTGTTTTGGAAACTAGGATTAGTGAGAAAGTTTCAGTGGAGACACTTTTTCCCCATGATAACTCTTCCAGGAATGAACTTCCCATCCGAGGGGCAGATTTCTCTCACTTTCAGTTGTCTCACTCCCTGTTCTTAACTTTGAGCCATTTGTAAATTGGATGTTTGTAACTCGGGAACTGTACTTATTTATAGTTGTCGCCCCTCCAATTTTGTAGGGATTAGGAAAATAATCATTGTATTGTTGAAGGCTTTCATGGCCAGAATAACTGGGGTGTTATAAGTTTTTCAGGCTGTATGGCCATGTTCCATGTTTGAGGTAGGTATAAATGGGGCCAACTGAAACATTCATACCTACCTCAAGCAGACAAGAGTTCTTTCTCCCACCCTAGACAGTCCAGAGATATATAAACCCCATTTTCCTAGTTTCCAACACATCTCACAACCTCTGAGGATGCCTGCCATAGATGCAGGTGAAACATCAGGAGATAATGCTTCTGGAACATGGCCAGACAGCCCGAAAAACTTACAACAACCCAGGATAGTCGTTATTTTTATTTTTTATTCTGCCCAAATTCTCATTTGGGTGTTGTTATTGATTTTTTTTCCAGTCTGAAGTTAAGCCCGTATCCATTCCTCTGATTCGGTTACATCTTAATCTGTAAAATAGCTGTTTGGGATCTGGGTGTTTTAAAACTGACTATAAATTTATTTTATGTTATGAACTTATTTTAGGGTTTCAAATGCCTTCTAGCATTACTTAGTCTGCACTGGGTTTAGGTTTGCAAGTTTTTTCTGCCCTCTTCCTTTCCCCATAGAATTACAGGGTGTTGGAAGCTTCAATGGAACCCTTTGTATGTATTATTGTTCACACAAAGCTATGTCTTTGAATAATTAAGTGAAAAATTTTCAAACCCATTTCATTTTCTCTTGGCTTCTCCCTCGCTTACTCTCTTTCCAAAATACTTTTGGCAGTGTCTTCTTCTCCTTCTCCTTCTCCAGTCTCCTTCTCCTCTTTGTCTTACTCCTCTTAATTATACAGTTAGAGTAAGCTGGGTACACAAAGGGACTGATTATTGAAACTGAAGATGCCACAGACCAAGGTTGGGATTCCTACAGTTGATTTTAATTGGAAAAATATTCTGTATGTGATCAGAGACTTGTAAAACTTCATATTAAGAATTCTCCACTCTCCATTCACTGAACACTGTTGATGGCTATCATTGCTGTGGATCACTGCCCTCTAACTGAAATAGCACTCATTTTTAACAAGTAATTTGAAGTGTTAGTAAAGTGTGTATGTTCATATGAAATAGATTCATACAAACAACAAAGTTAATTGAGCCCATTGAAAAATGATTCCCTATGCCAGTGGATCTCAACCTGGGGTCCCCAGATGTTTTTGGCCTACAACTCCCAGAAATCCCAGCCAGTTTACCAGCTGTTAGGATTTCTGGGAGTTGAAGGCCAAAAACATCTGGGGACCCCAGGTTGAGAACCACTGCCCTATGCTGTCATGCCGCCTTTTTTGATGTCACAAATACGAGATGCATTGGACTCTCCACCCACAAATATCCAAACAACAATCATATGGACCATGTGGAGGGAAATCCTTGATTGCAGAAAGAAAGCTTTTAAAGAATCCTTTTAAAGGGAATGTGCTCCTCAAGATTGAAAAAAACCCAAACAATCTTGAATGCCATTATTTGTAAATCCCATAGTCTGAACCAACACTAACATTTTGATCATCTGGTTAACTAATGATAACTTACTCCCTCTCTCTCAAAATTAACGCCCCTGTCCAAAATGGACTGGCTTATCTATGGGACAATGTAACTACTGTACCTTAATTCTCTTCAAAAAGGAACAGTTTCCTTTGCTCACAGCCTAAAAAGCAAACACTTATTCCACTCCAAGAGAACCGAAGAGAAGCACCAACCTCTTTTACACTCTGCAGCAGTGCTGCTTCTAGCCTTTTTGAATAATTGGTCAGGAAAATAGTTGTGGTGGTGCAACCAGGGGCAACTGGTACCCTGAGGCAGAATTGGTATTTTCCTCTTTCTTGGAATGACTGCAACTTATCTATAGGCCATAACAAAATCCATAATTTTGGCCCCAAACATACTTTCAATTTATACATGAGGTCGATTTCTACAGATATGAGACAGATACAATGTTTGTTGCAGTTTTGTAATAATCATACCACTTTAAGGAGGACGAGGACACAAAGTTTTAACCCACGTTGGGAACCAGAAAGAGCTCTATGGCATCACTGAACATTAGTCAAGCTTTTAGCCTTCCTGTGCTGTTCAAATCTGAGTGCTTTCGATTAGGGTGTGGAGCCATATCCATCTCTGAGCTTTGAATCTGGGAGTCCTTAGGACTGAACCACTTGAGATGATATGAAAGGAACAGAAAACCGGTTGGCTATTGATGTGGGCACACCTACTCAGCTTTCAAGTAGACATTTACATTTGCATTGGATTAAAGTTTAAGTGGGAACAACAGCAACAACAAGCCATAAGTAGTGTTTAAGCCCTTTTATGGTATCACATAGCTCATCAGCAGAGAACTGATCAAAGAAATGAACAACTTTCAAAAGGAACCCAATCCATGAAGTTATTTGGCTCAGCGTGAAATGCAGATTCATAGCATCACAGGGTGTGAAGAGGCATCTTCGGCCATCAGGTCCAACTCCCTACTCATTGCAGGATCTTCACCTACGCATCTCCAGCAGGTAGCTGTCTAGCATCTTTTTGAATATGCCCAAGGAAAGCGATCCTACCATTTCTCTCAGCAATTGGCTCCACAGCTGAACTACTCTAATTGTTAACATGTTACTTCAAATGCCAAGTACCTATGTAGATCAGTTGTCATATCAGAGGTGACATTCGTTGTCTTTGTACTTAGTGACTTACAATTAGATTGGATGGCATGCAAGTGATATACTGTTCAATAGAATATATTGAATCGATTTATGATGAATTATTCTTATCAGGTTGCTCACATATAACTTCATCACACAGGCCTTCACAAACGCCCTAGGACACTTTCAACATACTTCATCTACAGAACCCCACACTGCCCATCACATGATGCACACTCACTTGAGCCAGGGCTCCATGGATGAACTGTGCCGCAAGCATCCTAGGACGCTTGCCCACCACACAGGATGAAGCCATGTTGTGACACTTCCCCACATGTGATGGGGAAGCATCGCTGCAGGTGATTGAGATGTAGGGTGACAAGATTGCCCTGCTCCCTCGCAGATTCACCACAGAGGCTGGGTAATCCCCATGGAGCCAACAGTAAATGTGATAAAGTCCTTACTGCACAGCTTGTGTTTATATTTTGGCAGTTTCTAAATTGTCTACAACACTGGACCAGTGAATGTGTTCTATTTTGGGTTTAGTCTTGTATATGCATTATTGATTTCCTTTCCAAACCTGCAACTGAATGGTACCGAAGCAGAGATATTAACAGGAGAGAATGCTCCTAGAACATGGCCATACAGCCTGAAAAAACCTACAACAACCGAGTGATTCCGGCCATGAAAGCCTTCAACAATACATTGATACCACATTGTTTCGGCTCAGAAGAAAACTTCCAGTACTATTCACCTACTTTGGAATGCTCTTCCTCTATTGTAATCAAAAAGGCATGGAGATTGGAATAAGACTGGGAGTAACAAAATGGGGGGCATTGTTTCACAAGTTTTAAACCTATCTCAAATGTCATGTGGATTAGAAACTTGCTTTTTAACACAGTTAAATGCTATAGTGAAGTATTCAATTCAACTTGTGTTCAGGCTGCATCTACCCTGTACAATTAATGCAGTTCGATACCACTTGAAAATTCCCTGGCACAATGCGATGGAATTCTGGGATTTGTATTTTAGTGAGGCACCAGCATTCTTTGACAGAGCAGGTTAAAGACCTTGAAAAACTACAACTTCTTTGATTCCATAGCATTAAGCTATGTCACTTAAATGTCACACTGCATCAATTCTATAGTGTAGATGGGCCTTAATTTTAAATTCATAATGGGCTACAGCCTTATATGCTCCCATTTATAAAAATAGTCATATCAACTGGCTTCTCGTGGGTCACACAGCCATTGAAATGGATCATCTGCTAGACAAAGCTCAATTTTATTAGAGCAGTCCTATTTACATTAGTACCAACATGCTAGAGCAACTGAGGCCCCTTCTATGCTGTCACATAAAATCGAATATCTACTTTGAACTGGATTATCTAGCAGTGTAGACTTGTATATAACCCAGTTCAAAACAGATAATGAGGATAATCTGAATTATATGGCAGAGCAGAAGGGGGCTGAGTTGTTAATTTAATGGCCATAACAGAATGTGGATAAGTCCAGAAGTATAATATTCATCACTTGTCCCTCTTATCTCTGTCTTTCCAGGACTTTGGGGCACAACTCTGACTGAAAACACTGCCGACGACCGAGAACTTTATGTAAAGACTACACTGCGGGAACTGTTGGTTTACATTGTATTCCTAGTGGATATCTGTTTGTGTGAGTAGCATTGTTTCTCTGGGGGCTGTTTTTCTTGGTTGCTATCTTCTTTAGATCAGTTGAATGTTGAACCCAGCCAATGCAAGATACCTGTTTGGTAAAATAGTGTGTTTGTATTTATAACCGAGTCCTTATATTGGAAAAAGGCAGGACAAAAGTAAAGCAAATAACTAATATGTCCCACTAGATCTCTCAAAACAGCCTCAGCAAAAGCCTGGGAAACTGGATTGGTGCGATTTATTCAGATTTCCTCTACTTGAATAGGTTTCCCATTCATGCTATGCCAATTTTAAGTGTTTGTTTTTCAGGATGGGTGTTTAGGTTAGAATGGTGGTTCTGTTACTAAACTGGTGAATACTCTAGTCAATCATCTTTCTATATGAACTTGCTAGTACAGACATTGTATTGGTAAAGAAATTTCAATACTTTTACAAATGATTTTTAAGAGACTATCCTGCTGGGGATTCATAGCCCACATAACATCATTTGGGCTGTCTCTGTCAGGCCCCATTTGGGCTGTCTCTGTCATTGAATTGTCTCTACTGGAAGGTAATGGTGGGAATATAAAGAGTATGGTATAAAAGTCTGTATGTCTTCTCAGTATTCCTTACTATGGTTACTTTTATATCATGAACCTTTGAAACAGTTTCTATATAACAGGGGTCCTCAAACTTTTTAAACAGAGGGCCAGGTCACAGTCCCTCAAACTGTTGGAGGGCCGGATTATAATTTGAAAAAAGCATGAATGAATTCCTATGCACACTGCACATATCTTATTTGTAGTGCAAAAAACACTTTAAAACAATACAATAATTAAAAGAAGAACAATTTTAACAAATATAAACTTATTAGTATTTCAATGGGAAGTGTGGGCCTGCTTTTGGCTGATGAGATAGGATTGTTGTTGTTGTGTGCTTTCAAGTCATTTCAGACTTAGGTTGACCCTGAGTGAGGGCCGGGTAAATGACCTTGGAGAGCCGTATCCAACCCCAGGCCTTAGTTTGAGGACCCCTGCCCTGGACTATCTTCAAGAGATGCTCCAGGCAGGTGCATTGCCCTGATCAAACCTGAAAGCCATATTTAATTAGAGGAGCCCAAAAGATCCACTGAAAAGTTCTAAAGACATCAGGAGCAGACTGCAAAGGGAGTCAGTTGCCTGGGGTACCATTGTCAATAATGCCCTGTAGTGATTCATAGCATTAATGTTTAGCCCTTGTATAAATTTCCTGCCTTTCATGTGTGCTCATCATCTCATAGAGTAAGAGTTTTGGTTGCTTTTGGTATGTTTTTTTTAAAAAACAGGCAGTCCCCAAGTTAAAAACTAGTTAGGTTCTGTCGATTTGTTCTTAAGTTGAATTTGTATGTAAGTCAGAGCAGCTACTTTTAAAAGCCAAATATATCTTTATAAATAAAAATGTAAATGTAAATGTGCGTTTGTGGGATTACCATAACTCAAAAACCACTGGACAAATTGGCACCAAATTTGGACACAATGCACCTATCAAGCCAACGATTGACCATCACTCATAAAAACACTAAAAAAAAACCACAACGGAAGTAACTTAAAAAGCTAAAAAACAAAAAAAATACAATGCATGCACAAAATTACACACACACACATATGCAAACACACATATACACAAATACGCACACACATATATATACAAAACACATGTACACAGACTGGGCCACAGCAACACATGGCAGGGGACAGCTAGTGTGTGTGTTTGTGTGTGTACACACACACACACACACACACACACATAGATTTGGATAGCATAGGTTAACATTCCTGTGGTGTTTGTTTTGCCATCTGTGCCCCTGTTCAGAAGATTTCACCTCACTTTCCGTGCCTGTGATATTTGGGTTTTGAAAAAATGGTCTTGTGGAAACAGGGATTGGTGATAAAGCTTCAGTGGAGACTCTTTTTCCCCATGAAAACTCTTTCAGGAGTAAATTTCCCTTCCAAAAGGTCGATTTCTCTCACTTCCTGTTGTCTTACCCCCTTTCTTAACAATGAGTTGTTAGTAAGACAATGTTTTTAACTCAGGGACTGCCTGTCTATTGCATATTGTGTACATATAGGACTTTGTTGTGGCTTGTTATTTGCCTGTGTTCCATAGACAAATAAAACTATGGAACCTAGACAAATAAAACTAAACCAATCTGATCTGACTATGTACTATAGTTCTGTCATTCAAGGAAAAGTGTCCTTCTCCTGGAGGACCGATTACAGGGAACATATTTGTTGAAACAGTTTTAGCGCTAACCATTTGTTTTAAGATAGAATGGAAAGAGATGGTCATATGACTTCAAACCAGACTCTGAAAGACCTTATATGAGCTTGCCTAGGTTTGCCAAAGGAGGCACCATTCTCAGTTCCTAGGAACAGCAACGTTTTCCTTCGGCTTTCTGGAATTTGAGATATATGCTTAACAACTCCAGAGCAATCAGATGTGTCTCTTTCAAATCCCAACACAGGATGGGGTGGCTGGGATGATAACATAGATGGTAGTGCCTATTGTATTCTCTGGGTTGATTTAATGTGGCGCTGTCCAAAACACTAAAGCATTTATGTGAGCATAACAATCGTTGTTTGTTTTAGGAAGATTCATTTTTATCTCAAAAGAGCACCTGTGATGTCTCATAGGGCAACAGATTATATTTCATGCACTCTGCAATGGAGCAGGTATACCAGTCATATTTATCACTTGCAAACAGGGGCACAAAACTCAATCACAGTGGCACTGATATGATCTGGGTGAAACAGAGGCTTTGAACATGTGTTTGTGTAGCAAGCGTAATTGTCTTCCTTCCTTAAGAATTAATCTATTGAACTTACTGACTACTTATGTCTCTCTGCACGCATGCACACGTGTGATAACTTCCCCTTGTGGGGTAAGCAGAAGATATCTATCCTGGGAGCTAGGTCTGCATGGGCCATAGACACATTGTGAAGAGTCATTGACACATACACATACCCAACTCACCCCCTCCCGCTCCATTGCTCCAGCTTACCCTGAAAAGTTGAAATACAAAAAAAAAACAAAAACAAAAAAACAATGCTCTTAAGAGAAAAGAGGAACACAGTTGTGTATAATTTTGTTATTTCCTTGTGTTTGTTTGACATGGTATAACTTCCTTTTTTTTCACCAAAACTGTGTCTGATTCCAGTATCTCTTCAAGGCAATCTTTCCCTTAGGACAGTGGTTCCCAACCTTCCTAATGCCGTGACCCCTTAATACAGTTCCTCATGTTGTGGTGACCCCCAACCATAAAATTATTTTTGTTTCTACTTCACAACTGGAATTTTGCAACTGTTATGAATCATCATGTAAATATCTGACATGCAGGAAATATTTTCATTCACTGGACCAAATTTGGCAGAAATACCCAATACACCCAAATTTGAATACTGCTGGGGTTGGGGAGGGGGGAGGTTAAATTTGTCATTTGGGAGTTGTATTTGCTAGGATTTCTAGTTGATCTAAAATCAAAGCATTCTGAACTCCACCAACAATGGAATTGAACCAAACTTGGCACACAGAACTCCCAGGACCAACAGAAAATATTGGAAGATGTTGATGGGTATTGACCTTGAAGTTGTAGTTCATCTATATCCAGAGAGTGCTGAAATGTGAACATTGGTAGAGTTTGAGGAAAATAGACCTTGACATTTGGGAGTTGTAGTTGCTGGGATTTATAGTTCACCTACAATCAAAGAGCATTCTGAACCCCACCAATGATAGAATTGGGCCAAACTTTCCACACAGAGACCCCATGACCAACAGAAAATACTGTGTTTTCTGATAGTCTTTGGTGACCCCTCTGACACCCCTCTCATTACTTCCCCCTCAGGGGTCCCAACTCCCAGGTTGAGAAACGCTGGTACTTCCTCAGTTATTGATATCACCTATATGATTTGCAGTGAAGATTTTCCCCCTATTCTGATAAACTTTTTTTTTAAATGTTCATTTTGCTCAGATCTTTTTCTGGTAGTTATGTTTATTGCTTTAGCTTTTACGTTTTGGCAGTTTGTGCTGATTCTTTGAGATTTTTGTATATGTCCACTAAATAAAGCAAACATTTCCATGCCCGTAGTGTGCATTTAACTTAATTTGAGTTTATCACAATTCCTACCAACATTTAATTGCTCTAGGCAATTTGACACAAGGTACAAGGAAGGTATAGCCAGAAAAAATGATGTGAAGATATTCCAAGGAGCACTGACACTTTGCACAAAATTGCACAAGATCACATATAACCTATTCCTTTGCAATTGAATCTACACTGTTTTAGTTCTATCTAAGTCTTGGAAATGTTTGTTGCCTCAAATGATGAGCTGTGCATGAACTGAATATGGCAGTTATTGTTGAAGGCGGGATAGGTGTGTCATTTATAGTTTTCTTCTTCCTCAATCACGTCCTTCCTAAATACACTGCACATCACACTGATTGTCTCAGAGGCAAGCTAGAAAAAAGAAACCCGTACATGCAGAGGCTTTATCACTTGTCAGCAGAGTTTTACTGCACAGCCTGACCTTGTGCTGCTCACTGTTTAAGAAAACTCCTTGACTCAGTTTTCATCCAAACTCGCAGTGGAGGCTTTAAATCTTGACACATTGCATTATTTACAGCTATACACACACATCAGGATCCCCTGATCTCCTATCAGTCATTGGCATATGCAGAGAAATACTCACAGTGGTAACAGATATCAGCAACAGATGTATGGCAAGAAGCAACAGGATCATGGCAAGAGAGACAATGCATGTTTGCGGTGCTCTTTTAAACCCACTGCTTCTTGTAGAGCCCCCGGTGGCGCAGTGGGTTAAACCCCTGTGCCGGCAGGACTGAAGACCGACAGGTAGCAGGTTCAAATCCGGGGAGAGGCGGATGAGCTCCCTCTATCAGCTCCAGCTCCTCATGCGGGGACATGAGAGAAGCCTCCCACAAGGATGATAAAAACATCAAATCATCCAGGCTCCCCCTGGGCAACGTCCTTGCAGACAGCCAATTCTCTCACACCAGAAGCAACTTGCAGTTTCTCAAGTCGCTCCTGACACGACCAAAAAAAAAACCTGCTTCTTGTCATCAGACAGGGACAAAAATGAAAGATGCAACTTGTGTCATAATGGTCACATGGTCATGACTAAGCTTCTTTAGCATGTCCCTTCAGTTCCACATCATCACCCACTTAACACTTTAGTAGGTGTGTGAACACATGTCCATTAGAACTGTATTTATCACCAGTTTAATGCAATAGGGTTACAGCCACTGCATTCCTGTCTAACCGTGCATTATCTAACTAACAATTATGTCCCTTTCTGGATGCATCTCTTAATGAATTAACATATATGTAGCAACTGAGAATTATGAAATTAGCCTTGGGAGTTGTTTTCAATACTTGTGCTTCAGTGCTTGTCTGCCTTCCTGGGGTATATTTGCATTACAGAAGCACAGTAGATTTTCAGTTAACTGGCACACATTGGAATTGGTAGATGCCAAATAAATGGAGTTTTGGTTATTTGAGAGTTACCATAAAATATGCCTACTACTATACCCCATACTATACCATACCATAAACTCTATATTGATTTGCAATTGACATTAAAATATAGCAATTAAAATAAATAAAGACAAATTTAACCAAATGTACCACAGTTTTGTTGTATTATTAAAACAGTTTTGTGAATGCAGTATAATTCCATTTTTGCCAGTTCTTTGCGAGTTTCAGTTGAGTTCTGGTTAACGGAGAGTCTACTATATATCAGTTTCATAACACTTTAATTATCATGGCTCCATCCTATGGAACGTTAGTAATTTTAGACTTGTAAGAAACTTAGAGTGCATATGTAGCCATTGCAGAATGAATGCTGTTCAACGCCACTTTAACTGTCATAATAAATAAACTTTATTTGTATCTGCCACCATCTCTCTGAAGGGCTCGGAGCGTCTTACAAAAAGCACACAGTAGTGCAAACACACAAAATACATAGCATTAAGTCATGGCTCAATGCAATAGGATCATGGGAGTTGTAGTTTTATCAATCTTTAGCCATTTATGCCAAATAGTGCTGGCGCCTCACCAAGCTACAAATCCTTCAAACCTGGAAGCCAATCGGAAACAACAGACAGTGTATTCCAGCCAACCAGCCTACACATCCTAGCCTGCTACAACCTAGGCCAATTGATACTCAGGGCAGCAGAAATCCTTTTTTTCAAACTGTGGTTAAAGTAGAGGCTGATCCCACAGAAACAAAAAAGAGCCAGTGCTGTCTCATGCCATCTCATGACCAGCCATTTAAAAAAGACCAGAAGCAGCATTGAAGTGGAGAAAGTACTGGGGAGTCAATGCTTCTTTTGGGTTATTCTCACCTTTCTACTAAGAAAAGAGGGTGATTTTTTTATAAAAGTTAAACTACAGTGTTTATTTACATTGACTTGTGAACAAGTTGAGCCAGGTTTTGGGGGGTCAATTTTTGACTAAATTTTGTAGATTTTCGCATGAGTATATAGTATTTCAGGTTAGTCTGTGGTGTAAAATAAATCTCAAGCTTTTAAAGCTGTAATCTTGGTTTTTCTTCTTCTTCTTACATAGTGACTTATGGAATGACAAGTTCAAATGCCTATTACTACACTAAAGTGATGTCTGACCTCTTCTTGCAAAGTTCTTCAGATACTAGTGGATCCTTCGAGTCCATTGGAAGCATGGCTGACTTTTGGGGAGTGAGTAAAACAAGTTTTCAGTATAATGTGTTTCCTGTTTCAAGGTAGGTAGGTTAAAAAAACCCATTGGTCTTACTGACATAACACAAACATCCTTCACCTGGCTATTTTAAATCTGGCTGGATAGTTACTATCTAGTGCAGGGATCCACAAACTTTTTAAACAGAGGGCCAGGTCACAGTCCCTCTGTTTATAATTTGAAAAAAGCATGAATGAATTCCTATGCACACTGCACATATCTTATCTGTAGTGCAAAAAACACTTAAAAARAATACAATAATTAAAATAAAGTACAATTTTAACAAATATAAACTTATTAGTATTTCAATGGGAAGTGTGGGCCTGCTTTTGGCTGATGAGATACAATTGTTGTTGTTGTATGCTTTCAAGTTATTTCAGACTTAGGTTTATCCTGAGCAAGGGCCGGGTAAATGACCTTGGAGGGCCATATCCGGCCCRCGGACCATAGTTTGAGGACCACTGATTTAGTGCTTACAACCCAAAATTGATTTGCTTATTTTTCTATTTGTGCAGAGTTTACTTTCTTTGATTGAATGGTCCTATGGAGTACTATTACAATTGTGTGCAGTGTAATGAATTGTGGGATATATATATATAATCCATGCCTCATGCATTAGTGATTAGTTCACACGAGAGTTTAAACTTCTCGTTCACACACAAAAGCCCTCCTTTTTGTTCGCTGTAGCTCTCATATGCTCCTACCTCCCATACAGACCAAGAATTTAAGTTGCTGTGACTTTATCATTCCCACCCTAAGGCATATATTATGCAAGGGGACTCTTACTACCTATGAAACTAATGTTCCACAGCACCTCATATTTAGCCATGTGAGAGAGGTGTCCTCTCCATATCTATATAAATAAAAATGTAATGTTCATTTGTGGAATTAACGTAACACAAAAACCACTGGAAAAATTGACACCAAATTTGGATATCTATCAGGCCAACGAGTGACCATCACTCATAAAAACATTGAAAAACATAGCATAAGGGACTTAAAAAGCCAAAAAAGTAAAAAGA